TGTATGAATCACCAGGTTTTGACAGAGGTACCGGAATGATAATGTGGAAGGAATTTTCAATCGACACAAATAAAAATGGCAAATTTGCGGAGGCGAAAAAATTTCTCTCGATCCCAGCAGGAGGATGAATCTTGAATTTCTCGCCCTTGATAACAGCGAAATATTCGGCACTTCCCTTCTTCATAACGTAAAAGTCCTTTGTTGAGCCATTGTAACTGTCGAAAAAATAAAAGGATTGAGCCTCACTTTCTAGTGTGAAAATGTGCGAATCCACTGCAAAGTTAAAAAGCACCCCACGCGTTAAAAAAGCATCAAGAAACGATTGCGATGCCGAAGAGAAAGAGCAGAACGAACTTATGTGAAAAGAGCATGGAAGTGGACTGGCTATCTCCCCTGTGAATTTGGACGAGTTTTTCAAAGCCAGAGTATTTCCGCCAGAAAGCTCTGCATACTGAAATCCGTCTAAATCAAAAAGGTACACTTTTTCGGTCCACCAAAGGTTAGAGTGGGTTTGGAATGCAATGACATCATTGTCAGACCCCACCATTTTGCTGTTGAATGCAACTTGTAGACCCAGTTTTTTATGGCAAAGCTTAAAGTGATCAGAAACAAGCTTGGCTTCTATCTCACCATCCTTTACTAAAAAAGCATCTTTTTGATTTAGAAATAAGTGCATGCCGTTATATTTGACGATCGAAAATATTGATCCATCAGATCTGCGCTTGTGTAGCGTAACTTCTACCTTATAATTGCGTTTGTCTTTGACGTTCATGATCTTCCATAAGCGGTGGCTGGCAAATGGAAGTTCGGAGAGCTGTATCCGTTCCCCATCGATCAGAAAATGTCCATTCACCAAATTTTGGATTCCTTTTGCTGTTTCTGCTGCGCATCTTGATTTAGAAGAAGAAAATTTCCAATTGTCATAATAGATTCTAAGAACATATTGAATTTCTTCCTTGCAAAAAAACGACTTTATGAGCTCAAAATTCGATATCACCGACAAATAGA